AAAATAGTAGCAATAACAATTAAAACAAGGGGTCGTTCTTTCACTACTCGAGGAGAGTCGTGCGTCAAATATTAGGGTTTAGGTTTTTCACGTTCAGTCGTCATCCCCTCATCGGCCTAACCATGCTAGTTTTCATCCACGTTCAGCCACCATTGTCACCCTCCTCATCACTTTTCTTCCACGTCGAGTCACTGCAGTCACTCCTCTCTTCGACTCTAAGGTGTCGGCCTCATTGTTGTCTCTCTCATATCCTGGGCATTGGTTTCATCATTCTCTTTCTCCTCGGTGCGTCAACGTCTCTGGTGGTTGCGTTGGTACGGTGGTTTCAGCTGGTCTGCTCATGCTAGTATGCCTACAGTCTCCAAGTCAACAACGATCATGGTGCAAGCTACTTCGTTGGGGTTGACAGTCAAGGTAGAGGTGGCTATCCTGTCACCCCCTCCATCGTCCGATCTGCGATGTTACCTTTAGGGGAATAAGGCCGATGTCCAGAGATTTGGCATGACTGGCTCTTCACCTAGGGTCTATACCTTTGATCCTCCTTTTCACATTGTTGGGCTAGGTTTTTGGCCACTAGGTTTGTTGGGTACCATCCTTTTACCCATCTTTACTGGTTTGGCTAGTTACTTTATAATGGGAACTGCGAATCCAGTTTATGTTGGTGTCCTTCTTGACAAACCTATGGAGACTGGCCCAGTGGAGTCTTCCAGAAGCCTTCCTTAATGTGTTCTTAGAGCATTCGCTGGCTTGGCATCCGGCGAATGCTCTTATGCCTGATCCCCGTGTTTAGGTTAAGTGGCTAGGCCAGTTTTGTTATTGTTGCGTGGCGTTTTCTTCTTTCTCCCCTTAGCGGATCTTTAATTCTCCGTCTGTCTCAAGGACTATATTTTCATAAGAGGTTTTTTGTCAATGTTGAGATGATATGGCGTTCTTGGGGACTTTTTTATTTATTTTCTTTCCTGGCCTGTTTGCGGTTAATCTCTTATTTGTGTTGCTCCTTGAAGATTTCTCTTCTTTCATCGCCAATTGCTATTAGGGGTAGCTGGAGATGGTAAGCTTAGTAACTGTTTTCTTTATTCTTGGCGTATTGTGTTCTCTGTCGGATGTTCTCACTATCTTGTGGCTGTGCAAAGGACTATGATTTCATAGCATGACTCTTTTGACAATTGGATTGTGTTGTAGTATTCTCATCGGAGGTCTTTGCGTCAAAGGTCTAGGTGTCAGTTTGCTATTTTATTTTATCTTACTCTAGCATTGGTCATGTGTGACTGTTTCAGACTCTCTTATTAGTCTATGACATGTGTAGTACTCTTTCTTACCCTGAGGTTATCCCTCATAAAGGTTTTAACGAGGCCACTGTTTCTTGTAGTTTGTTTTGATTTACTTGTACATTATCACCACTATCGAGATTCTGATTTTGAGTGGTAGAAGCTGTTGGAAAGATTAGGCCTTGTTTGTAATGTCTTAGTGGCCCCAATTCTGATTTCCAAAAATGAAAACAAGAGTGAGTACCATTAAACCAAAAAGTATAACAAATACTGGCAAACAGAATTTTTTTAAAAAAATTCATCAATGCACTAGGTGTAACAGGGGTGAAAACCGCCTTTAATTTTTCGACCCTTGTCCGACACTTAGACTCTTCCTAAGTCAGCCTTCTCTACACCTCCAAACCGTGAGGCTTCAGAGTTCACGTAGCGGGATAACGACATAAGTGACACCAACACACGCACAAGCAAGACTTGCCTCATGCAAGAAACTCTCACACATACACACATGTATGAGAAATTCCCAACCTTCTATTCACAAATAGCAAACGATTACAAGTTCTCACTTTTGGTTGGATACCACATCACTTGGTCATCTCAAACTTCACCTTCACAAGGTATTTATAAGCCTACACTATGTAGATGACACCCACATCTACTTAGGAAACTTTGCCAACCGTTAGATTAGCCACCTAGACATGTTTCTCTAACTCAAAAACCTGTCTAGCCACACAAGGCGCCACCTCGTAGCCCACTTTGATCATGGGACTTATTTTTCCTCCTTAAAAATCTCCCCTACTCCTTGGAACATGCAGCCACTTTCTAGTAACCGCCCATTATTGCTCCAAGATCAGCCACAACCCGAGTTTTAAGCATACAGCCACTCTTGCCACGTCCAACTGCCCATGGACTGCTCAAAAATAGTTTTGCCACGTCCTAGACCCACTCCAGCATGTTTTCAGCCAAACTGCCACGTATGGCCATGATTTGCCCATGTGCGTTGTGCAGTCTGTACGCACGCTGCGTGCGCTGCGCATAACTGCCCTGCGCGCTGCAGCCTTGCGCCAAGTGTTGTCAGCATCCTTCTAGCATCCTGCGCTCATGCTGTGCACAGCTCCTATCAACATCTTCTCTCGGCATCTGTCGACAGCGCCTGTCGACATCTCTCGGCATTTGTGCCTAAATAAGTCACGGTCGTCAGAAGGGACCTCTTCTCGGCCATGGCACCTGTTCATGGACTGAAATGGCCACGTTTCGCCAAACATTTAGCCTTTTCGAAAACAGAAGGAAAATACGAAGGCAAGGTCTTCTCGGCCTCATAACCACGGCATTATGGGCCGAGGCCGAGGTCCATGAGAGACACGGCCAAAGATACTATGGTCAAATCGCCACTTGTCCTCAGGGTCCCACGCCCCATTTAATGAATTAGTGCCTCTGACCGCCACAGCAAAACCACTGAGTGCAAGAAGCATTTAATGCACGAGGGCAGAAGGGAAGTGATTGAAGTCAGGATTTGGTAACAGGAACCAGAGTGGTTAGGCGCAAACATACTCACAATGCATTCTCACAGCTTGAGGTCAGATCACCAACCACTGGACCAGAGCATTAAATGTGTTCCCACGGCCAAGAGTGCAGAGCCCACGATCAGGGCAGTGGCTGAGATTTGCCGAGATTTATGGGGGTCACACCACCAT